TTCTTGATTTGAATATGATTGAGTTTTTTTCTATTAGTACTCCATGCTAACTCTTCTGTTGATTTCTGGCAGTAGAGATCCTGAGTTGTGGTGTTAGTTGTCTCAAATATACAATATATTCTTCTCCTATTTCTGGAAAAATTAATAAATATTAACACAAAATTCTTCTACTCTTTTGGAACTAGTAGAAAATTAATAATATCAATCAAGAAATTAAATATAACGATAAAAAAATTAACAATTCTAACAGAAGAACCCATATAAATAACATTTTTCTCCAACTTTTCTTATAACCTAGCTGATTTTAAATAACGTACATTCGTTAAAACGAATTCCCAGAACGTTTGCTAGTAATCTTCTCCTTATTATTGTTAGATCTGAAAATTCTTGTTAAAACTATTTCTGTACCTTCGAGCGGAATGCGGGGAAGAATGCCATTTTAAAGTATAATTAAATCCGATGCAGTTTCATATCTATGGCGCTTTCAACTGTGCCCTATAGCGAGGCACTTTTTGTGACAGATTTATTGTAATTTCGATTTGTTTCAACGTTTCGTGATTAGCATCGGACGGCATTAGTGTCGCGTAAAATCAGTGTTTTATAATTTGAAAATATGCATGGAAGGCACGGGATTTGAATGTGATTTTACATAAAACAAATATTTGTATATTATACAGTGGGATTTCGCTCGAATAAGCATACTTTTTTCCAAATATTCAATTCTTAATTCATCATCAATAACATCGCTGAAAAGCAAAAAAAATACGTCATAGCTAACTATGGTTTCCATTAAAAAAACATATATTTGTGTCATATGTTTAAAATGACAGGCTTTAGAAAAACACAAAATCTTATTAAGGATGTTACTATCTACAAATTTTATCAATATAAAACTGCAATTCTTTCCTCATTTAACCGATCTCTCAATGGTCTTTATCTCCAGTAGTTTCCGACATACCTATGGAAAACATCGTAGAAAACTTACTCTGTATTCACACATAATAATAATAGTTAAAGGTACAATCATATACACCAAATCCTATACACAATTCATAATTTATAAACCAATGTAACAAAAATTCAGCAACCCAAAAGGCCTAATCATCTTCCTACAAAGTCGAAGGTGCTGTTGAGGTCAAGAAAAATAAAAGTTTATAATATATAAACTAATAATTTTAATGGGTTACTTATAAGTATCCTAATAGTTATTTAGCATTAAATAATACCAACGGATAGTATTTATTTAATTCCACAAATTTAAATATATAAAGAGATTGCCCTTTTATGTTTTAGAAATAACATTAACTGTTTGCATACGGGCAGCACGGACCGACGACTCTGCCGCAGTTTCCGTCTTTTCCGGTGCTTGTCCGAAAGTCCATTGTCCGAAAGTTGCGCTGTATTGTCCCATCGAGCTTGTTTACGTTTCATTTACCGCCAAATTTGCCCAAAACGGCGGAACTCCAGGGCGGATTTGCATCGCAAATTTCCAGAATTATCGATTGGAACAACAAACACACGCGAGAAGGATGTGGACGTTGGGCAGCCGTGTGGGAATAAGTATTTAGTCTCTTTTAATAGGGTCTGCCTTTATTAATCCCTTGGGTATTATCGGATTTATACTGGGGGACTTTGTACCGAAAATGCTCCAAATTATGTTTTCTTTTCTGGAAATATTGGTACGTGTTTTGGCACTGAAATGGAAATTTTAGAAAATAAGAATGTAATTGACTTGTTTATTATTTCATCTAGATATTATATTATCTTTTGATTTAGGTTTTGTATAAAATAACGACAGGAAAAAAGTTGATTTTCAATAAAATCCGTTTTTTTTTTTTTTCGAAGTAACTGAGCATTCCTTGAAACCTTTGAAACTTTTTTGATGGCATCTTGGTAAACATTCCAAGACGCAAATCTGCCCCAATTTAACCATGTTCGTATCTATGGTAATCGCAAAACAATTTTCGATGCACGTGATCAACTTGCCAGATTGTTATGGATTTATTAGATGGATTTTAATTTGAAATTGACAAACAACATATTTATTACATCATTTTTTAAAGAGTTTTACACTTTATTTTTATTTTAATAACTAATATTTTAGTGATTAGTTGATTTATTTGTTTAATAGCTTGTTTTACTTATTACATATTGGCAAAAACTAGTCCACTATGAAGATTATTATGTTTTTTTTTTATTTATTGATGTACATCTTACAACGCCATTAGTGCTAATAACAATTAAGAGGGTGCTATTAATGCACAAACTAATAATCACAGAATTTAATAAAAACTAACTTTGAAAGTGGTATAATGTGCTTATCAATCAAACTTACTTCTCTGACTGCAGCCAAGTGTAATAAAGGACCTTTATTGACACGTTCTAGTTCAAAATAGTTTATCAGGGAAGCTACAAGCTATTTGCTTCGACTCTTTAAATACTTCGGCATATTTTCAACACAATTTCAAGGAATGCAATACAAGAACTCGTTTGTGCTTAAAAGTGCAATTTAAAACAAAAACTATAAAAATAGGCAAAAAACGAGAATTACTCCTGGTTTATAGTAAGCCGATCTGATAAAAATAATTGTTCTTGAATAGTTGTATTTAAACATTTTACACTTTTAATGATAAACACTTACTACTGAGAACGCGAAAATCAAATTTTGTCTTATTATACAGGGTGGGCCACTGAAAATTACAATGACTATAATTCTTAAACCAAAAAAGATATCAAAAAAATAAAAAATACCGTTTCTATAATATCGAGGGGGAATACATATGACGTATTTTTTGAACCACCCCAACCTACCCCTTAGGCGACACCCCTACTCACTTGAAAATCTTAAATGGCAACACCCCACTTGTGGCACCTTTTTGGAAAGCCCATGAAAAATGCTAAACGATGATCATAAAGTTTTTAGGGTGAAATTGAAAAACTACCCCTTGCACGAAAAATTAGGTAGACATTTAAAAAAAGTGATTTTTTCAGCATAAGTTACAAATTGGGACCCAGCATAATGAGGCAAATGAGATATTTTTCAAACCACCCCGACCCACCATTAGTTCACAGAACTGAATCCTTCTATCTGGATCGTCGTCACCAAGTTCCTGCAGAATCTTTACTTTGTAGGGATGGAATTTGTGCATTTTCAATACTCTCCTGACAGATGTTCGAGGTATACCTGTGATTGATGCCAACTGGCGTGTTGATGCTTCTGGATTGACCGATACCTGAGCAATAACTTCCATCTGCATTTCTTCATTCAGTACCCTGGGCCCTGTCCTTTTTTTTATTTTTGACCGACCCAGTTTCTTTAAACTTTAAAATCAAATCTCTAACATAAACGTGACTTACGTTTTTGGCCGGATTTCTCTCATTGAAAGCACGGGGCGTTCTGAAATAACACATACCTTCAGCACCATAAAGAAAAACTGTTTGAATCAAATAAACGTTTAAAATACCACCAAATTTGCTGACGATTGAAAATCGATAGAAGACAATGCAAAAACGCAAAGATATGCCGTTTTAAGATTCCTGTTTGTTGAAAGTAAAAAAATAGATGATAAGGAAGAATTTGCGTTATCGTAAAATTAGGCTGAACGATTAGTAAAACATCTTTGTGTTGCCTTTTTTATTATCTACATTTTTTATTTTTAGCTTTAAAATGGCAATGGTTTAAAAATGGCATTGATGAGATTAGAAGTGAGGGGATGACACCTAGGGGTGGGTCGGGGTGATTTGAAAAATACCTCATTTGCCTCATTTAGCTGGGTCCCAATTTGTAACTTATGCTGAAAAAATCACTTTTTTCATTAATGTCCACCTAATTTTTCGTGTAAGGGGTAGTTTTTCAATTTCACCCTAAAAACGTTATGATCATCGTTTAGCATTTTTCATGGGCTTTCCAAAAAGGCACCACAAGTAGGGTGTTGCCATTTAAGATTTTCAAGTGAGTAGGGGTGCCGCATAAGGGGTAGGTCGGGGTGGTTCAAAAAATTCGTCATATGTTCATATATTCCCCTTTGATATTATCGAAACGGTATTTTTTATTTTTTTGATTTCTTTTTTGGTTTAAAAATTATAGCCATTGTAAGTTTTCAGTGATCCACCCTGTATATAAAAAAAAGAAGTTGTAGCCATTTCCGATAAAACAGGAAGTGACCAAAAACAATTGAATACGTCAATCAATCCCTGATTTGTGTCATATACTAACCTACCAAATACCAAATCTCGTTTATTTATCTGAAAATTTCACACCTCTACTTTTCAACCAATAACATGCTTTAATGTTGACTAGTTACCATGGCAACTGAAAAAATTTCCGGAAATTTTTTCGAGGCGCCACGAAACTTTAGTGGAAATTTTTTGACAGTTGAAAAGGTAAACATAAGATCTACAATCATAATGTGAATGAACTACAATGTCTATATATTGAAATATTACCCATTTGAGTTTTAGCATTTGATGTAACTAATTAAAAATATAATAATATTTGTTAATATTATTAACAAATTGAAATTATTTTAAAATGTCATGTTGGATTAATATTTTTTTTTCAAATTTAGGTGTGAAATTTTCTTACCGAATACCACGCAAGCTTAAATTATTTCTGGAAATTTTCTTTCGGGCACGAATATTTTAGGAAAATTATCCCTCGTCTTCGACTCGGGATAATTTTCAAAATATTCGTGCCCTCAAAAAAATTTCCGAAAATAATTTAAGCTCTTGTGATATTATAAGTGAAAAAAATTAAAAGTTATAGGGATTATTTTATTTTGAGAAACACTCGATATTGTACTTCCTGTTAAAAAAAAAATATTCGAATTTCGAATTTTGAGAAGGCTTCAAGTAAGCAGTATTAAAATTCTACATAATGTTTATATACGTTTGTAGATTTTCTTCCGGTGGCAAAAAAATAGTTTTTTTTTCAAGAAAATTAAATTTCTATTATTAAAATTATTTGTACTAAAGGTTAAAGAAAAGTAACATATTATATGTATTTTATTAAAATTTAATAAATATTACTTTAACAAAATTAAATAGTATCATATAGCATTAGAAACACAAACACTTCTAGCAGCTAGTTCGCATTGCTCTAGCGTTGGGAAATTATTATTTGTTCTTCTGCACCCACCGTATACTGCAGGTACACATTGCTTTTTGGCGTTGTCCCATTTGAATACCGGAATGTATGCTAGACAATGGATTGGTCCTTCTTCATGGGGAAGATTGCAGTCTGAAAACAAAATCAAATTTCATTTCAGATATACGTAACATATTAGAAATTTACGTGTTATAAGTCCGGTAAATCAATTTTCACAGTATGAGTTTATACCAGAATTTGGACACGACAAAAAACCTAGAATTTGAATACTATTCTTTTCAATGGTGAAAACATTGTCAGTATACTGACATAAAATTTGAGTTTGGTGAAGATTGCTTTGAGATATCCGTACAACACAACTGTTCTAATTTTATTTGTCAGTCAAATCACTTAAAAGTCAGGGCTATTAAAGAAAGAGTTTTCTTAATTTATTCGATTTAATAACACTGGGGAACAGCAATTTTGTTGACTTGGATCTGTGACCTGTTTTTGACTAATTTTTGGTCTCTGAATTCAAAAATATTCACAGTTTTTCTCTATTACGACAAGTTTTTAAGCTACAGCATACCCCTGCTTTTACCTTAAAAGTGCACATACAAAGGGAAATAAGGTAAGATCTGACCAAATATATTAGAATATTTTATTCATACAGAGGTTAATATATTAAAAGTTAAATTGTGTTTATACAAAAAATAATAAAAAATGATATTGTGGTAAAAATTTCCTCTTATATCTTTTCCTGGAGTGTTCAATTTCAGTAGTCAGCCATTATACTGACATCCCATCTGCCTTGATATCGCGCCTACATAACCTTCAGATCTTGGTGAAATCGCTCGCCTTGTTTATCACTAACAGCACCAAGATTTTCTGGGAAGTTAGCAAGATGGCTATGTAAAAAATGCACTTTGATGCTTATGTTGCAACCAAGCTACAAGCTCTCCAAGAGTTGTTCAACAATTTCGATATAATTCGAGGCCGTGTATATCTTAGAAAGTCTACCAAGCATCCCTTTCAAGTTCGGTCATTGTTTCAGTGAAATGTTCATCTTTAATGAGTTGCCGAATTTGTGGACCATCAAACACACCAGCCTTTATCTTTTCATATGACAAGCTAGGGAATGCTGAAATTCAATTCAAAGCATTCACAAATTGCTTCATGAGACCTAGTTTTATATGCAAAGGCGGAAATATAATGTTTTTTCTATCAAGAAGTGGCTGATTTAAAATGTTTGGATCACCAGATCTTAGGTCAGATCTTGGCGGCCAGTTCGATTGCACACAATGCTTCTCGCGAGCTCTGCTGTCCCACATGCACAAAAAACAGGGATACTTGGTATATCCGCGTTGCTGGCCAAGTAGGAAACAGACCATTTTAAGGTCAACACAGATGATCCATTGATGCATGTTATATTGCAACAATTCAATGACTTTCTTTATATCGCCATATTCTTCGCGCAAATAAACTGAATGACCTATTGAGACTGACCGTATAAATTTTCATTGTGTGAGAGAACACACCTCAAGCTACGCTTTGAGCTGTTTATAAACAGTCGCCATTCAGTTGCGTTATAGTTAGAAATGCCCAATTCTCTCATTAAACCATCTACGTTCTGGCAATATACAAATCCATCATCATCAATATTCAAATCCATCATCACAAAGTACTGCAGAAATACACTTTCTCTAGATCGGTAGTAAGTGACTTTAGCTCCTATTCATGAAGAAGTTTCGCCGTAATCGCCGGTAGGAGAGCAGAAGTGACTTGTGTGATTCGCATTCAATCCTGCGAAGCGTAGTCGCATACACAACTGTAGGGAAAAAACTTGACGTGATAGGAAAAAACTAAATACAGTTTTGGAATTAGCATGTCAATTTATTTATAAAACAGCTTCAATATCGAACTCAACAGAAATTATTTTTCATATTGTTCCCCAGTGTAATTAATGGTAATAATGTTTTTTTAGATGTCACAAAAGTATTTTAATTTTTGCGACATGATTGGCAATATAGAACACTCATTTTAACGCTTAGGCATAAAAGTAAATCAATTTTACACCGGTCTAGCTAATTTATTATTAAATATTATTACTATTAGTCCAACCTACAGAAATTTCAAATAAAAAAATAATGGTATTTAAGATAATCACAAAAAAACTCATTTTAAAAAGATTTAACACCCTGTAACTCTAAAATTATGCATTTCCATTTCCCCATGCTTATAGGATTTTTTGTTTCATATTTTTAGATGAGGAATCAATGAGCCCTTGTTTAAGACTTTCGCAAGTTTATGATATTATTTTTTTTAAGGTTGCTATTAGACTTGGATCAAGGCAAATTAATAAAATTGTCTTTATCTCATCAAGGAGGCCGAAATCGACAATATATCAAGAGACTAATTTTAATCCGCATTAAACTACTTACACTATTTCGCTAACAAGAGAAATAAAGTCAGTGGTGTACATGATTTTTTTAGAAAAATATTCCAGTGATATCCCATATGCACGACCCTGGTGAATATGTCGACACTTTTTTAGCTTTAAAATATGTCGCATTTATAGTAACTTTCGCCCTCAAAATTTCATTCGAGACGCTAAAAGTACTTGGAAGAAAATTGTAATAAATGGAAAAAATATTAAGACTTTAAAACTCTGTAGCTACAAAACAAAGCAGAATCGGACCTATGTTGATATGAAAAATAAATCTATTTTTTACATGAGGAATCTCCAGACGAGAGATGGCACATGTTCAGTGGCGTAACAACAAACTCACGGGCCTGTGTGCAAAAATTTTACCGAGCCCCCTATTACACCTACATATTTCAATACTTATATACTAATCTGAATAATATGCACTCATATTTTAGGTTAGAAATAACATCAAATTAATTTTTATATAGTATTATTTATTACTGCAACACAATATGTAACCCAAAACATATAAAATATTAAATAAATAAAAAAATAAATAAAAACAAAATAAAAAACAACAACAAAACTAACTAAATTAAAATAAACAATGTAAATAGGAACATGAACATGTTAAAATTCTTTTTTCCTTGCTTTAGCATGGGCGAAAGTTGACACAATATTACCAATGTCTATTGTACGAGTAACTTCATTTTCTATTGAAATAATTGCCAAAAAAAGTGGCAGTTTCGGGCACCTCTCGTAACTCAGCTGCCTTATCCTCCCCTTAATACAACCATAAGGTAACTAGAGTTTTTGTGATTTTGAGTTAACTAGTTTGGCCAGTATAATTTTTCATCCTCCTTTTGATGCTACAACTAGCTTAGTTCTATTTTTATTCGATGGTACAGAAATCCAGTGACAATACAGCAAATTTCCTTTTTTGTCAAATTTAATGCTCTAATGAAAAATCACATATTTCCAGTTATTTGTATTGTGCAAAATAAAAAGGAAAACACAGCTACAAAATTGCACAAGAACAAGTGTAAAGTAATAAGTTATTTTCGCGATAGCGTGTGCTAGTTAAGTAGTTAAGAAGACATGTGATAGATAAGAACTTAGTTCGGGATCGCCCGATTCTGCTTGATTCGCGATAGCATGTGATATATATGGAAATGCGGCTTGGGCCCCCCGAGGGCCGGGCTCGTGTGCTTCGCATACACGACACATCGATAGTTACGCCACTGCACATGTTTCTGGACATCTAAATTGTATTTCTGTTCTAAGTTAGTGTAGGTTCTTGACTTCTCTTGTCACTTTTGTCTGTTGAGCCTGATGATTGGAAGTAACTATTCCCGAAACATGTTGCCCCGTTCAACAAAAATTTTTTTTTGAAATAAATAATTTGAAAGTTTAGTTATTATTAAATTTGTTTTGACAGTATCAGAGAAATAAACTAATACTTGAAAAATATATATTTTGCATCATTTTATAAAAAAATTGAAAATACAAATTGACATCCTGAAATCATAATATTACTCGATGTCTATGGATTGTTTTTACTTTCGCTATCTTCATATTAATAAATATTATAATCACAAAATTTAGAGGGTGCTCAAAATTTACTGTCAAAATTTTTTAAAATATAAAGCAATTTATCTTATTTTTTAATTAAACGCCCTATTTATTATTTTTCTTTTCGAGCAGTAGCATTAAAAATTTTTAAAAAATTGCATTGCATGTGTTTGGATATTTTTAATGGTTTTTCAGATATTCGAGGTATTAATGTTACAACTGACACCTAATGATTTTTGACTTGCTTATATATTTCCATTAATATTGAATATTTTTTTAACAAACTATTCAAGAATATTACAAAGAAAAATCATGCAATTTTATTGGTATAGACAAAATATATAACAAAAAAATTCTGTTTTTTTTTAAAAAGACATCAATTTCTTACCTGATTTCGTAAATACAGGTTTTAAAACTCCTCCACTGCAAACAGCACATAACAAAAGAACTACGAATATGGTAAAAGTACTCGTCTGCATATTATATGAACTGCTTCTCTTTCTGCTTATTAAATCGATTTAGGAAAAATATAAATAATATTTTTAAGCGTGCTCAACAAATTGTATTTAGTAAATGTCACTGGCTGAATAACTTTGTTTTATAAAATCGGGTTATCACCAAATATATGTAAATTACTGTTAAGTCAAGGTTACATGATTAATATGTATCTTAAGAATAATGTTTATTACGAGAACTTCTCAAGAAATAAATATTTATTTATAGCTAAGCAAATATACGGTATGTCCCAGGATTGTCTTTACAAGGGGAAAAACTTTTTTATTACTGACATTTTGAGAAATGTGCATTCTTCATAAAAATGTTTTCTTGTTCTAAAATGGTTAAATCCCGTTTATACCTTTCCAAAATTTCCATACCGTTTTAGAGAAATTAAAAAAAGAACATGACAATATTTTAAAAATCAAGACGCGTTTCTATGGTAATATAATTTTGTTTTCATTGTTTGATAGATTGTTATTGATAGAATTTTAATTAACATCAGATTTTTTGCTGTTTTAAAATATACAAATGCACAAAATTTATTTAGGGAATGCTACAGAAAAGGTTAATAATAGTTATCGGAAATTGTGATAATTTAACAACAAAAAATATGATGTTAATCAAAATTAATAATAACTATCTATCAAAGAATGAACCATAGAACCGAGTTTTGATTTGTACGACATTGGAAAAAATTTAACGATATGTTAAATTAAAAAAAAAACGGTATGAAAATTTGGAAAAGTACAAAAAAGATAAACCAATTTAGAACAAGCATAAATCTTGCTTGTTTATGAAGAATGCATTTTTTTCAAAATGTCAATAATAAAAAAGTTTTTTCTCTTGTAAAGCCAATCCGAGGACATACTGTATATTTTCGAAATTTTGATGACGATGTCTGGCGAATATAGACAACAAATACTTTTCCGAAATTAGGTACGCATTAAATTTGATGTATGGGAAATCACACATTATCGTTAATAGCTGTATCAAACATATTTTTGAATTACGTTTTTGCCAACACATGTTTGCTCAAATACACAAAACACTTAAAACTGAATTAAAGCTATCATTATTTATTCTACTTCTTTAAAATTATAAAACTCGGCATTTTAGGAAGCTCTCTAGAATTTTAAAGCTACCTCGTAATAAAGCATTATTTATTTTACAAAAATATACAAGAAAATTATCGTGTCCATAAATTTATAATTACAGACAGGCTGTTAAATATGTATGTTTTTATAGTCATTAATAGATAGATAGGTTGCAATAATTAAAAAAAAATGCAAATTGTTACATTTTATCTCAGTCTTTGCTTTTTTGTGTGATTTATATTTTGCTAACCATATTTTTATCAAAATATTTGACACAAAATACAATTTATTTAAATAATGTCTACACCTCTGTGTCGGGTTCATTTCTTGAATGGAACCTGAATATTTTTCCACTCAAAGAGAAATAAAAAACTATTTTTTTGTAAGCACCATTGAGTAGAATCCAAATGGAAACTTGGTATAAATCTCCTCACTCGTAGAACTAATTTGTATAACCGACATAAAATTATTAACGTTTTAAGAGGTATAGTTCCTCCCGTTGTCAGAAAGAAAAAAGAAAAAAACTATTTAAAATTTTAAGATAACTACACAGAAGACACTTAAATTTTTTAGCACAGACGTCTATTAAAAACCGTTTACGTTTTGTTAACAGAACGTTTAATGAAAATGACTTATTCTATTTTTTAGACTTTTGCTTATATTATAAAATTTCCAGCGTTTTAACATTGAAAATGTTTCTGTTATCCTATATAAGGGAGCCCAAATCGAATTAAAATGCTACATTTGCCACACCATGACGTCATATATACAAGGGTATAGGAAATCTCGGCGCAGCGGCGGCAGTCGGCCAGCGCGCGCAAAAACCATTACATCGCTAATTGTTTATTGATATATCTTTATTAGTTTAAAAGCAAAAATATGGGGTTTGCTTTGATACCTTGTCAAGACATAAGCGAAACTTTTAAATTGTTTCTTTTTTTTCATTTAGGCCTTCGTTTTCGTTAAATGAAAATTATATTAAAAAAATCTATTTTTAAACCAAATTTTCGCATGATTGAAATGATTATTCATGTTTAAAGTTTTTTGGTCATAAGCGCTAATGGAAATGTTTTTTGTAAATAATTATAAAAATTACTCCCTACGAAGACTTTATTGTGTACTGGAAAAAAATAAGTATTTGTTTTCTCTATACGGTGGTATTAATATATCGATTTTTGATGATAGTGCCCTTTTACCCGGTCTAATTTTGTACTACTTTCGGAATAAGGGTCCCCATATCATGTACTGTACTTCCATCCCTGAAAAATTCAGCTTGTGACACCGAAGTGAGAGGTAACGTCAAAAAAAGCTTTAATCTACCTACATCATAGGTAGGTGTAGGTACTCTAGGTATATTCTACCTAGACAGGAGCTGAACTAGCTGACAGTAATTTGTTATCCGATAAGTAGTTGTCATTATATAAGTTTAATCATCTTATACCTCCTATAACGGTAGGTTTTGGATTTTTCCTGATTGGTTTGTTAAACAAAAATATACTGGGCATATAAATGTCTGTTACAGGTTAATTCGTTAAAGAAATATGTGACACACATATTATTTTAATAATAATAGTATAATAGTAATGGCTATATTATGTTATAACACATACATATATATTGAATGTACTCATTTTAACCAATGCATTGTTTTGTTTTTTTAATCTCACAAATAAGAAATGTTTTATAGTTTTTATTTTAAAAAACAGTGATTATACAATTTATTTACACCCCTTACACTGTTTTCTGTAAGTGGTGTAACCAGGAGTATATTTCGTAACCTCTTACGATATAAGAGGGCACAAAGTGTTTTATTACTTAATGCTTAAAACTTAATAATATATTTGTACATAAAATAGAATAGATTAGAAAGTCAATTAATTAATATTGAAGTAATTACTAAATAAGTACAAGATTTTTTTTCTAATTATTTTAGTGTATTTTTAGTCACCTAATTATAAAGGAGAGCTATCCAACCATTGCATTATTTTACTCACAAATAAATGTTTTATGGTTTTTATTATAAAACGATTAATTTATTATACACCCCTTAACCCAAACACTCCAAGGAGGATATTTCGTGACCCCTTATTTAAAGTGGACAAGCTTTATTAATCAATGTTTTAATTACCCAGCGTCTTTAATAAAAATATAATGTAATTTTTTATAGAAATGATCTGACATAAAAAGCAAATTTTATCAAAAAACTTTTTGATTATCTACAAGGAGTAAACCGCTGACAAATGTCTGTATACTAATGCCAAAGTAATGCCAAAAAGACAAATTAAATACCAAAATTTCTCATATAATGCCCCACTAATGCCAAGCTGATTCCAATATAATACCACTAACACCACGAATAATATGTAACACATTTGTTTCACGAATTAACCTGTAACAATACTGGTAGGTACGTGCCAACAAATTACATTATAAGGCCAATAATGCACAAGTAATACCATTAAAATTTTAGCGTTTTTAACTTGTGTAACATATTTATTTAACGAATTAACCTGTAACAATAGTGGTAGGTACGCGCACATATTTTTTCGCTAGGTAACTTATTAAGTCGTTAAACAGGCCTATAAAAGCTATAACAACATAGGTAACTAATATTTATAATTTAATTCGAGTTTTAATCTCAAATAATAAATGTTTTTACTGGTGTATTTCTGAAGTGTTATTAAAAGTAGATATTCTTCAAGTTATGCGAAGTAATAAGTAATGTTTCCGGTGAGACCGCGTATATGTCATCGGGTTCTGGATAGTATAAAGACTTTTTCTATAGGAAGAGTTTTTTCTATATTTTCCTTTCAAAATATGACTAATTTCTTCTTATTCTTTTAAATATTACAGTGTTTCTTTTTCCTAAAATGTTATAATTAATTTTCGCTTAAAATTAAAAAATCACCAAATGGAGGAAAATATACGTTATTGAATAAAGTTTATACAAATCACTTTACCATAACACAAAAGTAAAAACATGTCATGGCGGAAGATATTCAGGTGGCATTTCGCACATTTATCCATTAAAATCGAGATTAAAATAATAAACTTGCGTAACATGTTATATGCAATACTATAACATTATAAACCAGACAGTAGAAAATTTTATACAAGGGTTTATTTAGTGACATCATATCCTCAATTATCCTTCAAAGAATACAAAATAACCTATAAAGAGAGTATTAGTGCTCTTAATAAATAAAAAAAAGATGAAAAATAAAAAACATCTATGCTCACTAGCTCTCTATAAAGAAGTAAAAAATCATTTAAATCAATGCATGAACGATTCGATGTGTAACGCGAACGTAGTCGCGAGAAAAAGCTAGTAATTTATTAAATTATTTTATTTAACTCATTAATTTTCATTGAAAAGGAATTTTTGTAATTCGCCACTATATTAGTTAAAAACTAAGAAACACATATCAAATTTAAGTTTTGCGATTTTGACCTATACTTTTTACAAAATCTGAACACATTTTAAAAGAAAAAAATTTTTGATAATATTTGTGTAGATTGACTACAAGTTTCTTAACATAAATTTCTACGACCGGTCTACCTAGTGGTCTACAGCATCGCCTTGTGGTGCAAACGTGGGCCTGTTAATCTGTGACGTGACGCACAACAGCCAAGAAAAACAGAAGTGTGGCTAAGAATTTAGTAATTTAAAAAAAGTATTTTAGATACAGTAGTAGGTATTAAAAAGTTTTGTGTTGAAATGGGGTTTGCCTTTAACAGTTAAAAAATTATATCGTAAAGTGTAACTTTCCGTAAGAATTCTTTATCTGTCATTGATCATGATCTGTCATCATGTTAACCAGATGTTTTGTATGTTATTTTGTTTTTTTTTCGAGGTTTTTTTGCTTGCTTGTTTTACGGATAGGTGCGATCGCATAATTATTATTGATAATGTTTTATTTAATGTTAACACTACTACTTTTTCAGTGAATCTTTAAATCTGTTGTTTTTTGTTAAGTTCGTTATTTAAACATATGTATGTAATACACTCATATT